GGCACTTGTATATTTCGGTTACTTTCTAAAACCTTATTATTTGCATGCCTTTAGTTTATTTTAGCGTAGTTTATATTTACTAAAATTATTCATTGTTTTACGTTGTACCATATCGACAAAGCTCTTTCCTAGTCTGTGAATTTTGCTCACTCACAATGGCAATAAAACATATTCTGAAGGTATTAATGGTTGAAGCATGGTACTATGCAGTATATTGTATATTGTCTGATAATAACTGGACGACTATAAGTAACAGTTTTATATTTCACTGTTTTATATTTCACAGTATTATGTTTTTTATGTGTTTTTTTGTGCCATGGTTAAGTTAAAATGCCTATAGACCTAGACTCCAGTTTGAGGGTAAATGCTCTTTGGCACTGTAATACAATACACACAAAACAAATCTATGTCTTCTTATAGTGAGTAATAAGTAATCCTTGTTCTGTCTCTTCACTTCTGCTCCTCAACATGTTTATTCTTGGTCCACTGCTGACATTTCCAGCATAAAAATGGTTATTACTAAGTACAGTATGAGGATACACAGGAGGGGAAGCATTTGACATATTTTTGTGTTCAGTTGTAACTAAACACTTTCTACTCTTGAGCACACAGTTGATTGGTCTGCTGCAGATTTGAGGCTAATTTCATAGAGTGAACAGAACAATGGGGACGAGAAATGGCATAAATTGGCTTCAGCTGAATGGCTTTAATAACCATCCCATTAAGAGGGTCCAGGCTGTCCTCCTGCGCTGCGCTCACTCAGTCAGATGATAGATCACACTGCTTTGCTGCTAATGCTAACAACTATTTGACTTGGGATTGGAAAGAAAAACATGCTTTTGCAAATCTACAATCCGCTTTGTTGGCTATTTTGTGCAATGGAAAAAGTTAGCCTGTGGGAATTTTCCTTGCAAATTTTACATTTTAATATAGGTAGCTTTTCATTTGTCATAGGTGTTTTCACTTTTCAATAAAGGATGCTCATATTGGCTGTTTATCATAGACTTCTAAGACACTCCAAAGTATTAAGTGCCTATGTATAATTTCAGAATAAGGCTAACTATGAACATAAAACTGTAATTCTACAATATAATCTTTAATATTTTGTTGAGCTTCATATGTGGAAAACTAAATCAAGGAATAGTGATGACAAATTGGCCTAAAACCCTAACCACACCACATCACCATATAAACTACTCAGAATAACTAAAAGGCAAAAGCATTAAAAAGTGTAATTTGTGCACTCCAAACACATCACCACGGAATGCTTTTCCATTTTAATCCAATCTCATTTCTGGTCTGTGTCTGTTATCTGTGTATATCCCTGCATCCCTTTATCAGACGGCCATCTGGTGAGTGGTCAGTCGGGACAGCGGGGCGTGCAATTGGCCGCAGTGAAAAGGGGGAGGGAGGAGGCGGGGGTCAGTGTCTTTGGGTGAGGGTCAAAGGTCGCGGCCCGTTGACAATACGTGTCAAGGCCTGGCTCACAGACCACGCATCTTCTGAATGAGAGTCTGCAGCCTGCTTTCTTACAATCTGCCCTGGCTGCACATTTGGAATAAAGCCCCGGTGACCAAGCGCCTGGACATGATGAGGAGCAGACACAATGCTTCACAGAGCTGTGTTGCCATGTTGAGACTAAATCCAGCTTTTCACCATTTTCAAACTTTAAACAACAAAAACTATAGAGCAAAGATGGAGAAAAGCGGCATTACCCCCAGAGACTACCTTCATCATAGACCCAACCCCCACAGCAACATCCTGCCTCTCATTGTTTAGTCCATATGAAACGTTTTACCGTCATAAGTCACTTGATCAGTTTATATAGTTCTGGGCTTACTTCAAAGTTGTATTATTGACATTCTTCGTGTGCAAGAAAGTTATGTTTTCTAAATCAGGATTTACACCTATCAACATGACACTTTAGTACCTTAGCAACACTTTCCTTTTGTGCTCACATAGCTACATTTTTTTTGTACTCTTTTGGTCTTTTTTCCTTGATAAACTAAAACTTTGAGTTTAAGAATATGTTTTGCTTGATTTGTGTTTTGTGCTGGAATAGCAATTGCCATAATTATTCCCTGGGAGTAATTCTATGTTGTCAAGTCATGTAGACTGACAACCAATAGGAGCCCCCATAACTTGAAACCATCTTGTTTTGCAAGCAAGCATGTGATTAGCCAAAGCTTACCAATTCTTTATGGAGTCATCATTTTTTTGAAAATATTTTTTTCTTACTTGTTTACATATTCACTTCTTACTATTCAGTATCATTCAAATTTACAAAGACTTGAGACTTACATCAGATTCAAATAATTTGTCAAAGCAATTGAAAGTTCTCAAAGGCACAATATATCACTGACAAGCTGTCCATTATTGAGCTTGTCGAAGCACATTTCTGCCCCTTCTGTCCAGTGCCATTGCGAGATAGGAGTCTAGACAGATGACAGTGCTGTCTCTTATTAACAACACAGAGTGACATCATTGCCAGGCTGAGGCACACTGATAACATTGAGTTTTCATTTCAGGGGTCCAGCCACTACCACTGCACTGTCCCAGGCCGTTTGAGCAGCCTACCCTGTCAGCCTGATGTATGGGGGGAGTGTGCTGGTGTGCCTGTCCCCCCTGAGAGGACCACGGCCTGTCTGCTAACTGGGACACAACCGACAGTGAACCAAGCACGGCACTATCCCCTCCCCTCGCGGCTACCCCAGTGAAGATTACAAACGCTCCGAGGTCTGTCAGACTCTATGAAGTATATGGGAGATATATAACTTTGGTGATACATGGAGACCTCCTGGCTGCAGAAATTGGCTACAGGTGTGTTTGGTTCAGGGAAATATGAGATAAATCATAAGTCCATCCATAAGCACGAATATAAATCAGAATTCTAGGCATTTCAACATAGATCTGCTGTACCTCATCTGTCCGTATAACTGAAGTTCGAGACCTGTTTGTCCTTCCTGTTTTTATGCCTATAGATTTTACACTTGCACTTTTTGCCTTGTTTTTAATCAATATTTTTATTTTATATTAATATCTTTGCTTTCTTACAAGAATTCCATGTTTCTTTTGTACTTTTTCTTTGTTCCCTTGTTCAGCGTTCCTACACACCACCCTCACATTCTTCCTTCTTAGGCTGACCTTGATTTTTTTCCAATGCTTTCTTACCTAACCTTAATATATTTTTTTTTCTTAACTCTCGATCATATTGCTTCCACATTGCTCCCTGTTTAAATCCTCGTTCCATATCTTTCATATAATCTAATCTCAAATTCCTTCTTTCACTCTTCCTTTTCCTAATGCTGCTGCCTGTGTGTCCATTCTCATCTCTAGCTTCAACTTTTTCTACTTTCTTGCTTAAATCTTAAACAAATGATTCTATCTTTTTACAAACATTACTTCCTGTCTTCATTCTGGTGCACCCCGTTCATAAGATTTCTTAGTTTACTTATACACAACGCATCCTAGTGTATGACATTACATATATAGTTTCTTCTATTAGAGCAATATTAGACCCATGCCTATTGCTGTAGACTTTCAAATTTGATTTTGATTATTTCTTTTGTACATTTAGATTTTTTAAAATACTTTTTTAACCAAATAAAGGCTGACATTTTGATTTAATAATGCCACTGGATTCGTTCTAAAAATGTCTTTTGCCAGGTCTTTTAGAGTCTGTATAGTCCCGTTAACGATTATGATTATCAAAATATGCTGATGATTTTTAATAGTTGACTAGACACTGAAGTACTATGTTGGCAAATGCTACTTTTGATATAGGTCAATACCATTCTAAAGTATCAAAGTCCAGTTTTGTTTTCAAATGAGTAACTAGACTTGATAATAGCTTTAGTATTGAATAGCATCTGTGAATCAATTTTTTGGCAGCCCTACTTCCTATTATCCCATATCCGGAGCGTTTTGGTTCCTTGTGTTGGAGCGCTCCTCTCTCACGTCACTAGCCCAGACTGCTCCAGCACAGATGACTTGTCCAGTCATTAGCAGAGTCCCACACACCAGCTGCTGTGTGACGGAGGAACAGCCACCATCGCCTCTGTCCCTTTGTCCAGCTCCAACCCTCTGACCCAACTGAGTGTCCCAGGACCACTCACACCCCCCACAGCCAACGCATCACAACCCACCAACATCCAACCCACATTTCATTTGCATATAACAAACCAAAGCAGTACAATAGAAGTTATGCAGATATGAGCCAGAGCAGCATTTCTATCACAAGTCATTTGTTTATGGTCTTGCACTGTCTGAAACAATGATCTATTGAGTCCTCATGGAAAAAGTATTTAAATTAGAACAATGATTAGTAAAAATAATGACCATTTTAACTATTGAAAAATGAATTTAATCTTCACCGCTTGTTAGTTAATATTGTCAGCACCAAGAAGTAGTTACCGACTAAAGGGAATTCAGTGATCTTTTTCAAGAATATGTCAATATGTTAGCCTATGTTAAAATAGTCATATAGTCAAAAATGTTCCTTGTTTCAATGTCCCACAACACATCCCATGCCAGCTAGCATCCATTTTCATATCCCAAACCTCATTAAAGCTTATCCAGAGTCCCACCTTGAGTCCCTGCCCCCTCCATGCGCGCACACACCAATAAAACATATCATCAGGATTCATTTATCATGGGACCGATGCCCTTGGGTAACCCCGGGGGGCAGGGGCTGATGGGAACTCAGAGAGGGTAGACAGATATGGGGTGAGTGTGAGAGTGTGACAGGAGCAGAGCCAGGGCATATGATTAGCATTATGACACTGGGAGCGCCTAATGTAAATAAAAACACTGGCAAGACATACAAACTCCATCCCTCAGACTGTGGCGCGGCTAATGAGAGGGAAGTGCACTGAAATGAGAGATAATGAATGTGGATCCTGTAGCAGAGGCCCGGGGCTGGTGAAATATCCACAGCACAAACAAACAGTGCTCACAGACAATGACTGATAGGTAATAACAGGTTAAGAGAGCTCACTTACTCTGCACGATTTATTGGACAGTTTGCCACTCAGATCATATCTTCCCTTTAACTCTTTGAGCAGCTGCTCCAGGTGGATCTTCTCCTCCTTGTCGGTGTAGTCCAGGTCCAGGAGCACATAAGCCCGCCAGTTGGCCGAGTCGAACCCCCAGTGCACTGTCCGGTTCTCCAGCCGCTTGTGGCTGTGAACCACAAACTTGTGAGGAGGGAACATGAGTCTGCAGTCCAAGCACTGGATACAGGCGGCGCTCGGCCCGCTGTACAGCTCCGGTACAAAAAGTCCTTTGCAGCGGCCGAAACACTCGTGGTACACTTTGAAGCTCTTCTCGGTCCGCTCCAGCTCCAGAGACCCTAGCTCCTTGTTGCAGTGCGGCGGGTACGAGCCGCCGTAGATGAGAGCGTTGCAAAGGCGCTCCGCGTCGGTCTGTGTGATGAGCCCGCAGGACGGAGCGGAGAAGGGCAGAATGCCCACCACTTTGAGGATCTCCAGCTGGTCCGCGGTGCAGCGGGAGCAGTAGATGTGCAGGTCGTCACACACGGAGTTGATCTGCTGGAGGGAGAAGTCTCTCAGGACGCTGTTGAGGATTTGCGGGAGGCACAGGCGCTTCTCTCCCCCGACCACGAAGCACGAGATGGGCTCGCGCTCAAGCACCGTCTCGCAGCGCTCCGTGGAGCGGTCGGACGGGATGAAAAGTGGCCCGGACATTACCGGGGGTGTCTGCGCGGGCAGAGCGAGCACCAGCTCGTTGGGTTTTCCGTCTTTCTTGTAGAGAGCGTCCTGGTTCCAGCGCGCAGAGAAGGCGGCCGGTCCGCCCAAGGAGCGCATGGAGCTCAGGTGGAACTGCTGCAGAGTTTGTTGAAGTCCGGGATGAGGCTGGAAGCTGGCGGCCTCCATGTTTGTTTCGCTAGCTCGAAGAACTAGAGTTGAAAAGTCAAAACGAAGGCAGAAATTGACTGATCGGATCGGTCGTCCTCAGCATCCGGCCACACGCTCAATAACGCACATTTCCATGTCACTGGAGAAGCTTCCCAGCGCGTCCATTCAGAAAACGGAAGGCTCCCAGAGTCAGGGCTGTTCTTGTTCGCGAAAGAAAATAAAGTCGACAACTGCTGTTCCCAAAGTCGCCTTATCCAAAGCACAATCGCCGGGTTGTGTGTGGTTTTACGCACTCCAAAGTGCGCCTGAAATACGGCTTATCTGCGCCGTCTGGCTCGGTCTGTCTCCCACTCAGTGTGTGAGCCTCTCTCTCTCCCTGTTTGTTTGTGTCTGGTTCAGTCATTGAATCCCAGCCAGGAATGTGACTGACTCCCCGGGCTGGCTCTTCCCTGCGCGAGCTGCTCCTCCCTCTGCTCCATGGCAGCTGCACATTAAAAAAGCTAAATCCATCCGAAGCGAGCGAAGGGTGGAGCTAAAGAAAATACAGACTAGCCTTAGCCTACTAAAACACAGAAAATAGCAACTCTCTGCGCTTGTTCAGGCTTCCCAGAAGAAGTTGTTTTAGCTCGAGTCGAGACTTCGAGAAAAGTTTAATCCACAACGAAACTTTGAGCGTTTACAGTCGGACCAGTAGCCTGGTATTGTCAGGGTATGTTCGGTCACATCGAGATGGTTTATGTAACTAAACCAAGCATATTCCGAAATATAAAAAAAGAAAAGAAAATGCAATATACATGGGTTTTAACATAGTCTATGCAATGCTGCTGTAAATAAATGCATGTAGCTAATACAATAGTATACAGTTAGATATAGTATAGTTCACTGTTAATTATAATGTATTATTCCGGCGAATTCAGCGTTACACAAAGTCAACTCAAGTAGGGAGATCCAACTTCACTGAGTGAGCCTAAAGTTTTTTAACCACTAGGAGGAGCCAAACATCAACAAACAGCTTTGGTCCGTCTTTTAAGAGTTGAGACTGCTTTTTTTTGATTCTGTTGGTTTAAGTAGTTCATGTAATAATAGTGAATATCACTATTAGGCCATTTGGTTTTTTTTTTTAAAACACACAACAAAGTGACACTTTCGACATAATATAAACAATTTATTACTAACAACACCCTATTAAAATACAAACATATAAAATCATATTTAATCATTTAGTTTTCTTCTGAAGTATTTCAGTAGGCTTTCAAAACATGTTTTTATTGGTCTACTGTAAGCCCTAGATAATAGCCACATCCTTTAAAAACACAATAAAAAATACTGCAATTTCACACAGACCCATCAAAGTACATAAAAAGTACAAAAGGTATATTGTCTTTTTTACCATAATCCTACATTTAGAAAAATAACAGACAGTACAAACCAAAAAGCACAAAACATGTAGTTAGATACTTACCATCTTGAATGTTACATCAAAATATGTTGTTTGCACGATTATGTTGTAATTGCTGAGGAATATTTATAAAATATTTGCTATTATTTATTGATTTGTATTCCTAATCGAATATACACAGTTAAAAACATAAGGCCTCCTCATTCCAAACACATTATAAGAATTAGTGGTTGGCAGAGTGGTTAACACAATGGATTCACAACAGGAGGAAGTACCACTTTGTAATAACTTAATTCTTCATTTGCTTTAATAAAGCATGAACAAATCCTAACCCTAATGATTCAGGTTTAGTAACTAACTTGAATAGCCTTTAATATTCTAACTCCTAATCCTAACCTCTTATTCAGTAGTTACTATACTATTTGTTCATTATGAATTAAGTTGCTTTAAGTTAATGCTTTATCAAGGTATTAAATCCAGTTGTCGGAGTTTAAATTGCTGATAATATCTTATCCCTAGATGTGTCAAAATTTGCATCACTTAATGCTTTATTAAGGCGAATTAAAGAGTAGATATTATAAAATGTTACCCAGGAGGGTCCTGTTTCCACACTGTGGTTCAGGTAGGACCCTTCGCTGTGGAGGGACATTTGCTCCCTGTATCCTGGTCTTCAATCCCAAACCTGGATTTTGACACTGTGCAGCTCAAGGTTTGGAGAAGGTTCCTCTGGCGCTGCACTGTACCACTGCACCCCTTATCAGGTGGCATTAATCATAGCTCCATCTAGATGCCTCTTTTTATATGCCATTCACAAAATAAATAGATGAAAATACACAAAGAACAAGTTTTACTTGAAATATTTTCCTTTTGGGAGCAGCTGCAGCCTCCCAACCACATTTAACCAACACAATGCCAACCTTGAAATGGGTCTTTTAAAATGTCCATCTATTTTCTTCTCTACCGACTCAACTCTGGTTCAGTTCAGGCATCTTGTTCTCATATCCCGGTGGAGGGGTGATGGGCTCGATGGTGACTGGATTTGTGGTGGGATTGCGGATTTGGAGGCGGAAGTCCTTTAGGTGCAGTTTGTCTGATTTTATCCTTCTGACTCGGAGAGGCTGGAGTAGTCGGCTGACCCTACTGCTGCTGCGAGTGGGCAGGGAGGGGTTCCTTTCGGGAGCGCTGGCCTCACCTTGGGACTCTGAGGTATTCTGGGGTGGGGCGGGGGTTTGGCCGTTCAGGGGTGTTTCCTCTGTGGGGGGGTTGTTGGTTGTAGGTTCAGATCCTTCATTTTCAACTGCAGCAATGATGTCCTCATAAGAAGGGAGGTGGGTCATACTGTTGCGGAGGTTGCTCTGGCGGACTGGGTAGTTACCACTGCCCACTGCCTCCTCGTAACTTGGGACATTATAGGCAGCTGGGTCTGGAACTCTGTAAACATAAATATATAGTCAGGTTTACTAGATGGAACTGCATAGAAATTATTATTGCTACATTTTTGTTTACAGAATACAACTGTTCCATTATAACAAAAGGCTTTGGGGTTAAAATGTGTAGAGACTGTGGTAATTGTAACTTATCAAATTGCTGGTCTTAGAGTTAATGAGGCAGTCAAACATTATATTCTCATATAAGAAATATACATTATATTCTAATATGATTAAATATGAACTAATAAAATTACAATTTGACTGGTTTCATTCTTTTTGTTCTAAACTTGCCTAAATTAAGTTACATTCTCTTTCAATCTCTGATACATGAATGAAACATTAGTACACTAATCCTATACTAGGCATGGGGCAATAAACAATAATTTAGTTTACTGCAATAAAAGGAGTAAGTATCATTCGTTCATGGTACATTTTGTATAATTCTGATAATCACTGACAGAAATAACTGTCATTAAAACACTAGATTGTGCAGAAAGAAGCTACTTATCTATGTCCTCTACTGTATCATTTTTTCTGAAACTACAATCCTATAAAAGCTATTTAAACATAAAACGTATTCATAATAATATAATTATTAATTTCCATAAAATTTAAAATGGTCAGCAATTTTAGTAATTATTGAGTTTTTGTCATTCATGGCAATTATTTTGGCCCTGCTCATCGTGTCACAACATTTCAGTATCTTCCCGTGCCTGTCCTATATATGTGCCTGGTAACAGGTTGGTCTGCCGTGTCTAAATAAGTCTTGAGCAGAAGGCAGTGACTCACGGTTCTTCCTGCTCTCCGGCTACATGCTCCATGAAGGGGACACCTGTCTGGGCTGGCTGGTTCCTTTCGTTCCTGGCTCTCCTCTTGCTCCTCACTCCCAGGCAGATGGACAGGAGCAGCATGGCGCCCCCTACCCCCACCAGCACCATCGCCACGGATGAAGACTTTGTCCGGTCATCCTTCTCCTTCTCATCCTCGTCTATGGGCACTGTGGAGTTGTCAGCTGTGGTGGTTGGAGGATTGCCTGTGTTCTCTCCATCCACTGGTATGACAGTCCACACGATCATGACGATGCCCAGAGCGATGAGACCCACGCCCAGGGCACACAGGGCATAGTGGGCCCCTGAACCAGTAGCTGCTGAGCTGGAAGGGCGGGAGCGGCTCCCACAGATTCCCGGACTGGAGCACATCCTGCTGCAGAGGTAAGACAGACAGTCTTTATTGATCCACAAATTCCATGGTTTAAGATTTCAATACAAAAATATAGAAACAAAAACAAACCAAACAAGGGGTATTATATTTTAAACAGTGACTTGAAGTGTAGTGATTGGATAATGGACAACTGTATTCAAAAATATGTATTATGAATTGGAGTGTGAGATCACATTTGTTATTTTGAAGAAAAGTTAGAATACCAAGTTAATTATCATCATTAAAACAATAAAAATGACCTCAAAAATGAACATCATGTATAATCTTCCAAACAAGGGTATTCAGTGATATTTCTGCACTTTTGTGGTCCATTCATATTTTGTGCAATACGTGAAACCATTACATTTACTGATATATTTTAGCTCATTCCTTGCCTGGGATCCAAAATACACACTTCAGTACTTTAAGAAGATGTGAGTGTGGTGATCGACAGGTGGATACACAGTCCTCCATATCAGACAGAATAAAGGAAAAAAAATATATCACATGGGACTGAAAAACATTGCAGATTTCTGCAGAATCAATGAGCAAAGCCCTAAATTCTAAACTTAATCTATGGCGATATAAATTTGTTTTACATGCGTCACTGAAAAAACAAATCTGATTGCATAATCACATTTGTCCAGACTTGACATTTGTCTGAGGGTGTGGGGACCAGACTGATACTGATTTAAATTAAAATAAAAAATAAAAAAACAGAGCAATACCACTCTGGATTTCCAGGCAAGCGTATTCCTGAATTTTATGATTGAGAATCAGTATTAAAAAGGAGCAATGTGCAGCACGATTTTCATATGGATCATAAAAGCAAAACCATAAAAAGCAACCACTCAGCCACTGTCAGCAGGGACAGGCAGAACTCAGTACAGATTTCCCTACAGGTAAAATGGCTCTAGCGCTCTCTCCCCTCTCTCATCCTCAGAGTACCCAAGATGTAAAGTTTCAAACTAAGGAATAGGCTTAAAACTCAATACCGATTCCGACACCATAATGAAAATAAAAATACTTTTATTTAGACAATTGAATGCCATTTCCAGCATTATTACCATGTGATCTTATATCTGTGTAATCCCTCAGTCGTGCATAGTGGTCCCTGGGCGCATGTGGTCTTTGTGATCTTTCTTGTTCTGACACAGTTCAAGATCTAAAGCTGTTCAGGAAAGGTTCATCTCTGTCCTGTGAATGTGACTCTTTTAGTATCTATGCCTGCTCAAATTAGAACAACAACAACAATAGAAAATGAACATAGCCAACCTGCTTCATCTGACGTATACGGTACATTCAACAGTGTACTTGTGGCTGCTATGACATTTACTGACCTGCGCTTCCTGTTTTCTCTATGAGTACGTTTATTTGTTTTAGATTATTAACCCGACAGATGCTGTAAAACAATAATATAATATAATAATACCACGCGTAATATTAATAATGCAAGCCATTTTTGCTTGAGGATAAAATGAGGAAACAACAGACTAAGTGAGACCAGTGTGAAGGTAACAGACAATTAACAAGAGCAAAAACCTGTTTAAACATGTATACCTCAGCAGTCAGTCACACTCATGAGTCATTCAAAAAGAAGAGACAGAAATGTGCCCCAATCGCTTCATTCAACATCAACGTACCGCCCGCTTTAACAAAAAGTGCTGTTAAACTGTAGGAGTTACCACAACCAAGTACAGAATAGTCATAGTAGTGTTATAGTGGGGAGGCTCGCATTATTACAAATATATTTAATTTGATCTGAACCCTTAACACAGTCACAAATGTATCAGAATTTGCAACTGATAATAATATGTGATGTATTTTTTTATTATTATTTTGAATCTGTAAAAATAAGTTGTCTTATGTATAAAACTCTGCACTTGAAAAGCAATAGCACTAATTAAAAAGCATGTAAAACCGTCATTTCTTGTTGGCTCCAATAGGCTCTATTCACGCTTACGTCGCAAACCAGGAGGACATTTGGAAACATGTGATGACAACTTCCGGCGGGCTCTGTTTGCGGTAGTAAGTCTGACAAGATCTAGGAAAAATGAGAAAATGTCCCAGTTTTCTTCATCTACATGACTTTGTAGCGTTCCGTTATCTTCGGCTAATCAACAATTACAACCATACCTCAGTTTTCATCATTTCCCCAATGACACAAAACTCCGAGCGCATTAGGTACATGCGATTAGAAGAGATGAGGCGCCAAATTCAAGATTATTTCAAACAGCACATACGTCTGCAGTCTTCATTTTACAGCTGATCACATTTACTTTAATGGCTTTTATCTACGGATCTATAATAAAAAAAAATATTTTTTATTCTCATATTTTTATTTTGATATCAATCATTTTATTATGGTTTAATTATAGTTCTATGGTTTTTATCACAGTTGGTCGGAAAGCCCAGTGTCGATAATTACACTGGAGGTTGTCATCGTATGTTTCCAAACGTCTTCCTGGTTTGTGACGTAAGCGTGAATAGAGCCTCGTACATGAGGCAAAGGACTATGGCCCATATGGTTCTCTTTGCCTTATTACGCTGTGGCAAAAACAAACCTAAAACACTATTTTAGAAGAAGCTTACAATTTGACAGAAGGCAGAATGAAATGCCATAAATTCTACAATGATTTTGACTGGAATTTAGATGATGTTTCAAAGCCATAGAAAGGGTGAAAGAAAGGTAAAATTCAGACCATAAAATTAAAATATGCAAACCTGTTCACAAATAACATTTTGATGAATACTTTGTTTTGTAAGTTGTGACCTTTTTACCAGAATATTTTTATTACTGTGAATGTTATTTGAAATTGGTGGTGCCATGTAAAGCGAAATGTTAAAAGTATAATTAAATTTTGTAAATGTAAATAAAATTTTGACTGCACTGAATGTGACCAGCCAGGTTTTTTTTTTATTATGAAACAACCAACACTATATACTATTACGTCTATAGCATGATGATATAATAGGCCTAATTCAATATATTGCTTTTACTGCAAATGTATTTCAGCGAACCATATGCCATGCTGTCCAGAAGACTGTTTAATTAGATGTCATAAATTAAGTGTGTAGCTGCGGAAATAAGAAAGCATTTGAGATCACATGTAAAATTTGAGTGCTTGAAAAAGACACAAAGACAAAAAACACAAGATGGATAAAAGAAACCAAGCAAAAAAAAAAAAAAACCTTTCAGAATAATTATTAAAATTCTGCAAGGCAATAACATCTGTAACTCATTAGCAATTACAAAGGCACATTTGGAGAACAATAAGTATGTAGGTAAATTTCAACTGACAACATGAGGAAGCAATAGACCAAGAACACAATGCAATATGTACGTCTACTAAGAATTACTATGGACTTTAAAAAGAAACAAATATTTTCTGGGTTTGTCAGTCAAAAATAGGGCATATTTTAGATTTTACCTTTTGAAATAAAAAAATGAAAAATTAATACAAACACATTGGTTCTATTTTTGCTTCTAATGTATGTAAATGAAAACAAATTAAATAATATGGAACTAAAGTAGTAAAAGCAGTATCAGCCCACTGTTTTTTTATTTGACACAATACATAAACCATCTGCTTGTCTCCATGGAAATGTCAATGAGGTGCATATAATGTTACACAGTAAAGCAGTAACTTATCTATCTCCATGAAATCAAGTTGAAGTTACAAGTCAGAGATCTGTGGAGAAGCAAGCCTGCTGAGAGCAAAAAAGCATTTGATTTAATGAAAGATTGAGCGTTTATAACAATACTGTGGAAATCTTTAGAAAAGTTACATAGCTCAAATTTAAGATTCCAATGTAATATTTTAATTGTGGTCCACTTATATGCACTTAATTGCTTTAGTGGACCTGTGAAGTACCCGTTGTCATGGCAATGCGGTGGTGATTTTGATGTAGTTTTTGATGTGGGCAGAGTCTCCAGCTCTTCAGATAAAAGCTTAGTTCAGAACAATGAGCTCACCAAATATTGATGAGAGTGGGCTAAACTCTCCTGGTTTCTCTCACTATTTCAACATTAATAGTCAAACATATTAAAATATTATGTTCATGTACTGTAGATAAGCAATCACTGTTCATATTTGCTGTAGCTGATTTGCAGTGGGCAGAGCTGCTAAAAATGTACTCAAGTAAGAGTAAAGTTACGTCAAATAATATTACTCAAGTAAAAGTACAAAGGAAATTATTTGAGTAATAGTGCAGCATTTTGAGAAAGTATACTATCTATGACTAAATAAGAATAAATGCAATTCTGTTAACATAACATCTGATTTATTAGGATTTTTTGGTATATATGTATGTACTATTTAAGTATATACTAGGGATGGAGCAATAACCAAAATATCGTGATATCGTATCATCAACATTTTCACAATAATTTCGAGGACCATCACAATATATATCGAATTACAAGCCTCTTTGCTTAAATTAAGAGTTATGGTGCAGCAATAGCTAAAAAAAAAGACAGAGGGAACAAGATAGACCATGATCCTTTGCTCCATTTCAGTGTAGAAGAAGAAATAACAGTTCTAAGCACTTTCAAGGCTTAGTTCTTTGGATTAGGTCTTGTCAGGGCATTTTAAGAGGAAAAAGGAGCATATTCACAGTTTTGTTAGCTCCACAAAATATCACAATAAATATCGTACCGTGAGATATATATTGTGAAAATATCGTACTGAGAAATTTTGGATATTGTTACATCCCTACTCCCTCTCCACCATATTAAGAGCTTTCCCATGATATCGTAATAAATATCGCACTGTGAGGTTCATACAGTGACGACATCGTATTGTGAGACTTGGATATCGTTACACCCTTTGTATATACACTTATATATATATATATAATTTTTCTCAGTTGTTTTCTGAGGGGGTAGGGCTGGATGAGAGGGCAATGTATCGCATATCGAATGTTTCTGTAAAAATGGTAACACGGAAAATATAATAATATAAAATAATTAAAATGTATCACAAAATAAACATATGATTTATAATTATAGTTATAATGTCATTGCAAGGCCAGAAATGTTTCTAATGGATAAAATCTGGTATTCAAAGTTCATAACATTAAAATGTAAAAAACCAAAACATACCTGAAGGAGCGGTGCAAAAAACACAAATATTCAAATGGTTTATTATCATTTATAGACTCACAGATGAGAGTAGTATGAGAGTGGTCTGATTGTAGGGCCAAATGGACAAAATATTCAATTCAGCTGCTGAATTTGACAACATATATGCTTATAATAATGAATATTAATTAATGATATATAGTTGTATATGTGATTTTTGCATATTTAGTAGCAATAAGCAATAGTTCACTTTTTGTACCAGTCATTTTATACACAATGATCATTTATTTATATCTGATATCTGATGTGAATTGTTCCTTGTTTTACCAAAGTGTGTAAAATAATCACTATCTGATCTGTAGGCCTAACACAGCGTGGCACAATAGCACGTGTTGTCAAAACTGGAAAATCACACTGACAATTAGTACACTTAATTAACTTAATTGTCATACAGACTGCCTACACTGGAATGCACTGGTTAATAGATTCTATCCACTTCAGCCTTTCTCATATTTAGGTGTAGTAAGTGAGTCACAACAGAAAGCACTGGCACACCGTAGCCTCTGAACAGTGACATTTATGGGTGTGTCTATACATGCCCTGGAAAAACACCTGTCAGAAACATGATCAAAACTGTGCAATCGATTTCAAATATTTATAAATGTATTGATCTTAAATTGGAACACGAATCAAGTTTAGAAGGTGAAATTGCGGTAAACATGTTCTTGCACTGCTTAGTTTTAGTTGTTAGGAAAGAGGCGAAGGAGAGACAGAAACGTCCTTGGATGCATCAAGCACATTTTAACCTTGGACACTCAATTCTTAATAAGTTGGTGCAGCCACAAGCCAATATTTCAGTTTTAAGAGAGCCTTGGACGCCATGAAGAGAAGATTTATAAAGTTAAAGTATTATCGAGGCCTTACCTTTCACTCAAGGACTTCCCTCTTCATGGGTGGGTTACCTGAATTACGCAGGTGCTTCCTGAAGTTTACGCGCAAAAAATAACACAAAATCTACACGTGGCCAACGTTGGTTTCTTCGGATAAAACTATAACGTGACAATAAAAACGTGTGATTGTTTTGGCGAGGTCGTAGGCTAATAAAGTAGTAACGTGTAGAGAACTTTGGCCAAACTCTCCGTAGTTGTACCTTTCCTGTCGTGGACGCAGAGTGAGAGACGCCCCTGGGTCCTAGCGCCGCCGCTTCCTCTCCACTGAGAACAAAGAACAAGGACAAGTGTCAAGAAAATCTCACTATTATTATAAACATTTAAACATAATGCATTATTTTATTTTGTATTGTATTCAGTCTGAGCAGTCCCAGTGCTAGTTTTGCAGATTTGTCTTTACACCAAATGCCCTACAGTGGGGGTGCACTGTTTTGCCAAATGACACAAGGATATCAAATTGATTATTCTGTGCTTTTTTTTTTTTATACTATTACATAATAAATCATTTCTGACCAAAATATTCCATGCTGCTTTGTATGGCATCACTCCAGTAAGCATGTAGTTACATATAAAATAATATTATAGTTTTTATTTTGTAAATGATTAAATCAAATGGAAATAAAATGAGCATTTTGAAATAAATCTGTCCACAGCAATACCACTTACCCTCATGTAAGAGAAGACATTATTACATACTCATGTACTAGCTAATCTAAAAACTATACAGGAATATTTGACAGGAATGCACACATAGGCTGGTGTATGTCTGTGTAGTTTAGTTGATGTCTGCTTTCCCATGTTATTTAAGAAATGCAACAACCACACATGACCAAATAATACCAGCCATATTACATTTACATTCATTTATTCCAGTTATATTGACCTATTTTTTATCATTGCATTATATTTTATTGCAGTTCTTTCTATCCACTGAGAATAGGTTGCAGACATGTCAACAATAAACATTTTCCAGAGTTGAAAAATCACTAAATCAGACACAAAATTACAATACTGATTATATATAGTACATATATATATATTTTACAATCGTATTTCATCATATACAAGATTTACACACACTTGAATGCACTCGCTCAATGCATTTTACTCTTCATGAAAAAAATAACATGATCTTTTATATTTCCAAGTCAATAAGCATGTTTAGATGAAAACATCAGGTGTATGCACATAGTTTGAATGCCTGCAGTTAGGACAACAGACCGGTACAGGTTTGAACTAGTTGTATTCCCACTTTCAAATCCCACCAAACCAGTTTCTGTTCGGCTTCACCCCAGGGTCCACACAACTGACACACCATAGCATGTTTATAAATGTCTGTACACTCTGTCTTTACATTCATTCATGTACAAGCTTTCTGACATTCTCCATTACTTCTATATACATTTCTTAGTGGTGCATTCATTGTAAGAAAGATTTTAAACAGGTGCTTATTGTAAAAATGATTCAAAAGATCTGGAATATGCAATTTTGTATTTTTGGATCTTTGTGGCTTTAGATACATTTTACCCTAGGCATTTTTATTGTTGCATTAAAACATAGTGAAAGTGTTTTGGATTATCACACAAACTAAGCAGGGTTGAGCCCAGTTAATACTTGGATGGAAGAATACCAGGTTCTACACTGGTGTGGCAGTGTCTCAAATGCACAGGCAAGAGACTTCACCCACCTTGCCTAATAAAAATATTGTGTGTGCATGACTAATTTATAATGGTTAGAACGTCCGTAAAAGCGGTATCTAATACAAATGCAATATTATTAGCCTATTATGAATGACATAACATGGGATTAGTTGAGAATTACATTCAAGTTTTGAGAAATGTATGAGATTTTATGTTCAGTTTAATTTGTAATCTTACAATAAGTAGAAAAAGACAAAACAAAATCAGTATAAAAATGTACAATTCATTTCAACACCAACTTTTATAAGGCAATGATGGATTCCAATAAGTTAAACACTCCACTTGCACAGGGTAGAAGTCCCAAAATTATGCTTTTCTGTCATTTGCTTGTCTCTATGGAGATTCTGTGATTTGCAGTATTACAATAAGCCTATCTATCTTCATGGAGATAAGCGCCAGGCAAAACTACAAGTGAGATCTGTGGAGAGGCAAGTCAGCTCATAGTAACAAACCTGTGAACTAAAATAGAGAAATTTAATACCATACTGAGGAACATTCCAAGCAAAGCTATAGCATTTTAATGGAAACAAACAAGTGATGGACGCTCCACGAGAAAAGTTACATAATGCACCTTCTAACCATGTCGTCTGCTCATATAAAGTCATTCTTCACCAAACCTGTTAAGATCATTTCTGTGCTTCATTTCCCTCACTATGAACATATATGTAAGTGTTATTTGACCAGTATTCATGCTGCTAATTACTATTTCAATTGTCTTCAGTCCCCTAAATTACCAGCAGAGGGCAATAGACACCTAATCTAAACATTCAAATGGAAAGAGCAAGTGCTGCAAAAATTTAAGTCCCTTTGAGTCCATTGGAAAGCACACAGCCTTTCAGTAGTAAACAGTTTGTAAACAGTAGTGCATATTGGCTGTTTTTTCAGACATTAGTGATCTCTACGCTGGTGTAGGTGTGCATGGGACTGCCTCTGCCTCTCGACCCCGCCTGCGCCCTCCCCTCTCTGGGTAAAGATCCGCAAGAGCTGGGGCTGGTCTGGTGGAGGCCCCGGGCTCGCTCTGCAGAATGACTACTGGCCCGCAACCTCAATGGACTCTGCAAAAGTATAAGAGAATTTTAAAACCAAATCAGCTCTGACAGGATGCAGTCTGTGTTTTATTTATCGCATTCTCACAGGTGTTAGGTGAAAGAGCAGGCACCCCGCAGGTAAAATTCCTCTTTTGAGATTAACTGCATTTTTAGTGTCAGGAAGGTTCAAGTGTTTTGATATGTTTGTGGTGCTTGACCTGAGAATGTCAATGGGCACTATTTAAATGCAAAGGTAAAATGCAAACATCGACTAGTACATAAGGAAACTTGGAAACAGAATTTATTTTATTCATAGCCATAATCTCATCAGATACTTGGCCATTTTATTTTCTTTCAGTCAGACAACTTCAGTTCACTTCAACTGCTATTCTCAAAACAATATTATTAGTTGTTTTGCCAGTCAAAACAATGGAATGGGTTTTATGCAATACTTAATTTGGGCTACTCAGTTTTGTTTTTGTTTTTTACTCAGAATTAGTTTCACTTCCTGAAATTTAACAAAAGCATTTTTGTGTAAATGCTTCATAAATAATTATTATAGACAACATCTGGACTAATATCAGCCAGAAGATTGTTGCCTTGTCATTATTGATGTGTGTGAACTTCATTAGAATACAGAATTACAGTTTGTGTATTACATAACAGGACAATTTGTCTATTTGTGTGTGTAGATATGATGTATACTCAAACTTAAAAGCTCAATGGATATCATAATCCTAATGCCAGTAGTGCTATTCTAATTTGAAACGCAAAGTGCATGTACCTTCCCTGATCTTCTCATAGACTTCCTCTCGTCTGCAAATCGATTCATGATGACTGGTGAAGAGGAGGCACTTCCAGGTTCAAGTGTGCTGCTAAATATCACAAAAAATCAAGAGATTGAGAGAGATAAATGTGAACAAGATTAATATTTTGTTATGTTTTTTATAGACGTACCAGTGTGGGGCAGTGAGAGCCTTCATCTCCTCGTACAGGTGTCTGTGCAGCATGTGTCTGTTGGTGGGGATGCACAGGGCTTTGGACATGGCCTCTGGGTCGAAGGACGGGTCCAGAACCAGCACAGCTCCATGGACACCTTTACCCTGGAGGTTATCTGCAAACTCCTGAAGAGCAACAAGCTGTTACTGTCTTCTACACAAGATCATTTATTACTCATCCAAGTTTGAAAATACTCACAATAAGCAATAATAGCAGGTATTATTATAACTGTTATTTGTTCTCTCTTTTCATCTTCTCAAAATGTTTCAGTGCTCACTGAAAATATTTTGAGGTTAAAAAAAGAACAAAATCCATAATAATACAAATATTTTTTGAGCATCATTCACTTACTATAACAAGATAACAGTGATACTACTACTTCTAAAACTAGTAGAAAAACTTGATACTAATTTCAAGTATCAATATTTCCTGAGAATTCTTGACCTATAATATATCTAGTATAAAACTATATCAAAATACTATTATTATTTTATGTTGAAAATTACATTTTATTGTCTAAAAAAATTCAGATGTCAATCAAAATCAATACTGAGTATCAAGCATTTTCCTTTGTATCAAAATCAAATTACTATACGACTAGATTCTAATGACACAGAATCAAAACTAGATCCTCATTCAAGCAAGTATGAATACAAGAAAACATAAGACAGGATTGGATCTTTCCTGAATAGTTTAAGAGCAAATCAAATCACTGCAATGAAAACCATAACTGTCTGTCTGTTGTGGCACTTCATTATTAGCCTTTTATTTTGTCAACACAAAGAAGTCATTATCTCTAGTGCTTCCTCTGAACACGTGTGCTATCTGTTTCCAATCTGCCCCAGAAACCTCCTGACGCCTCTCTCCCCCTCCCCAAACCCAAATGTACCTTGAGGTCGATGTCCCGGGCCCACTTCATTACGCGCTGACACGTCCAGACAATGGGATCCCGGTCGAGCTGTTCACATTTGGCGCGTCGTGCCTGTAGGGCCTGAGGGACACAGGGTCAGACTGTGTAAACTGAGCACACGAGGGAAGGTATGTATCTACTTGAGTACTTTTCCTTTAAAAGTTTATAAAGTTAAATAAACTAGTTTTATCACATAATACTTTTGTCTTCTATTAAAATTATAGTTTTGGGTACTATCTGGCAGGCACCTCACCCCTGTAACCCTGTAATTTGAGTTTGATGATTATTTTTGTACTCAACAAAAAAATTGCGATTAGTTTTACTCTTATACAATAAAATTTTACATTGAGTAATTCTACTATAAGTCTACATATTGTGTTTTAGTCTTTTAAAAGGCTGGTAATTATGTCTTTTTTACTTTAATGGCAAAACATGTCATCTCATTTAAATATTCTTTGTTTATTGTCCAGAACCACCAACATTATTTATATATTTGTTTTACAATCAATTTTTTCTTCTCAGCATCTGATTATTTATTAATGTCCACACAAATAATATGATGGAATAAAAAAATAAATAAAAATCAACATTTCAAAAATAAGCTCACCTAAGTTTTATTAAACAAACAAAACACTGAAGATGTCCAACATGCTCTGAAACATAAGTAGCCTATTATGAGCCTAATTTCTCCCAGTTTTACCACTCCACACTTCTACAGACAGACTAATTAGAGTGACAGACAGAGGTCAAAGAAGAGACTGTGGAGATTTGCCTTGAGCCGGAGTCAATTATCACAGACATCATGTGCAGATGATGAAAAGTGAAATGAGATTTGTAAGTGGATTCTTCTCTGACCTCTTTGTCAAAGCTGAGCATCTGCAGCAGCTGTACACCCAGGAGGAGGCTGGTCTGGTGGAAGGGGTCATTGATGTTGAGGTATCGCTCTAGGTCTCTGCGGTTGAGAGAATTTAAAACCCGTGCGTCGATCAGGTGAGTGAGGAAGACTTGGGAGTACTGAGGAAGGCCCACCTCACAGAGCCAGGATGAGCAGACCCAGTGGTGGTCCAGTTCTGAGGCTTTAGACAGGCCTAAGCTGGAGCATAAGCAGACAATTCAGATTCATGTAGCTATTTTATATTATTTTGTATGTGGTGGAGAGTCTGTCACCTGCTTGTCATCATAAAGTTGTTATTGCTTTGCCTGCTTTGTGTTCTGTATGACAACAAATTATCTATTGCTATGGAGCCTATGGATCTTTATGTTTATGTTATCTTAATAAATTCCACCATAGACCCATTTAAAGGAACAGGTCAGAATTTTGGACATAAGGCCTCATTTCCTAGTTAACCAGAGTGCTGGAGACATGTGAAGACACTTTTTTAAAATATTCCATCCAGTCCTTGTATTTCCAGAGGCCACTGGGGCTCGGATAGCTAAGTAGCTTATGTCAATGGCCATAGTTAGCCTGCCACTAAAAACTTCTTACCCCCAGTCTTACCCACTCCACAAAACACCCGAAGCAAAACAATTATAACACCAGACTGTCCATGTAAATGTCTGTGTTGATAGAATAATTTTAGAATTAAAACCAATCATGCATTTCAAGGATTTATGTTTGAGCAGCAGCAGCGAGTTGTACTTCCTGATAGAAAACTTGGCAGCGGCGGACTGATATATGAGAAAATAGTCCCTCAACATATGACAATTCATGCGATGAAAGGTTAGTTTTATTTCAAACATTATTCTATCAACACAGACATTTACACCGACAGTCTGGCGTAATAATAGATTTGCTTCAGGTGTTTTGTGGAGTGGGTAAGTGTAATATTTTTAGTGGCAGGATAACTATGGCCGTTGACATGCGCTAGCCTAGCACCAGCGACCTCTGCAAATACAAGGACTGGATGGAATATTTTTTTAAAATAGTGTCTCTATACTTCTCCAACACTTTGGCTCACTAGGAAATAAGGTCCTATATCCAAAATTTCGAACTGTCCCTTTAATGCCAACCTGTGAAACATTTCAGGAAAAGCAGTTGCATTCAAGAAAACAAGTAGGTGCTGGCAACAAGAGTTTACAGTCAGTTCTATCGTGTTAAATGCCAGTAACATCTGTCTTACCCATGCTCCCCTTCAGCCCTCCTGTAGTCCTCTATGGCCAGTCGGAGCTTCCTGCGGTGGAGAGGGTTACTGATGCCCAGACCATGCTCCAGGTCATCATCTGTCAGACCCAGCAGCACCTGACCACAACAAAACACTGTTAAACAAGGTCTACACTCGCATTCACAGTAAGGGTTCAATGCAATAAACTGTATATGCCTGTTCCAAACTAAATCTCACGCGTACCTTTCCACTCTTGACGTTTTCTGCGCAGGCTCGTGCGTACATGGGCATCCCCAGCACCAGGTCGAGCCAGGCCTGCACCGCGCCCGCTCTCCACTGGGACATGCATGTGCTGCGGGTGAGCTCCACCTGCTGCTGCCGCTCCTGCTCCTCCCCGTCCGACAGGCTCTGCGTCAGGCTGTCACAGTCTGCAGGGGGCGCCCGAGAGCAAGTGAGGAGGTGAGGAGGGGATATAGACAATAATGAAGCATCATGTTTATACTTTTCTAGAACAATATAATTCACTTGCAGCAAATACAGTTCAGCTGTTCATCAAAAATTAGGGATCAAACTACATTGACAGCAGGGCATTTAAAAGTATTTTGTGAAGTTTTGGATCAAAATCAGTATTTATCATAAATCCTATGTGACCATTGGTCTATTGGGAACTTCAAAATTCTTTCAAATACAATTGAAAAAACAATGCCCCCTTTGGCTTTGGTGAACAATTGAACTGTACTGTATGTTTCATTCACATGTTTAACACACAAACCCTGCATATTTAGGCTGAGTTCTTCTCAAACACTCCTCCTTGTGATGTCATGTGGTAATACAGATAGTGCACCACACACTTTTAAAACTCTATACACCTTCCCTAGAAGAATTTGGATAATTCCTGCCCTGGAATTGCCAATTTCTACTAAACTAAAGGTAAAAAAGTAGCTTTTAACATGAAAACTACCGTGTCATGACATCACAAGGTGTAACAGAGCATTTTGAGCTTTGGAGATGCAGGCAGACTAATATTAAAGAGTTACTCAGACATGTGTGAATGAAACAAAACACTACTCTGGTTTGTTTTTGAGGAGGTAACAGTTCAAACATGACTAAAAGCTCACAGGAGTAAATTTTGATTAATATAGGACCTTTAATTGTGGTGGTTGCATTTTCTTCATGCACCACTAGATGGTAGCATTTGTATTAGGATAGTAGTACAAAAACTTGAATATCTGTGTCATTGATGTATACTGTATTATACAAGGGACATGTTCAATCTGTTAAAAAGTGATGTTTGGGAAAGGTTAAAGGTTAAACGCTTACACGCTGTCAGTTGAGAGGAACTGTTAGGGGCATGTATTAGGGACATAGGGATTATTCATAGAGTTTTATTCATGCTGTTGTTACATTTACCATCATGGGACCATAATAGAGGAGCAGAGAAACACAGATTGATCCTGATGGACTCCAGGATACAGTCTATGTCATTACCTGGTCATGCCGACAGAGGGAGACAAACTGCATGCAAGTGACCACATAGCCTTTTCAAATGGCGGTCTCGTCTCTTGTGTTTTTCTATTCGCTCTTGTTGTTATGAATAATCCCTTGAACAGACAGCTGGTAGTCACAGATGCAGTTACTCACCAGCAGGAGGCAGGAGAGACACGTTAGACACAAAACAAGATTATTTTTATGTATGAGAGAGAGAAAGAGAGGCACAGAATGGAGTTTAGTTACTTCTTTTATTTTAAAATATGATTTCTTTCAATTATAGTCATTTCTGGAAATTCTAAAATTCGTACATCTTGCCGCAACAACCGCAGCAGATAAATATGTTTAGTTAGCTCTTATTTTATCTTTTAAATAAAATACTTCAATAGTTTTCCATTTTTTTATGCAACATCTTCTAAATTACAAATCTGATATTATTAGAGCCACGATTTGTAAAAGATGAGGTGGGATGAAACAAACATGAACAGAATAATTGCAATGCAAGGAAAACATTTAGTTAAAGGAAAGGTGGTTTTGGAGAGGATTATTTTGATTGGCAATGAATGGATTTGAAGACATAGGAGATCATGCAGGGTTCAATGCACATTCCCTTTAAAACTATTGGCACTTGTTAAACAGGTCTCAGTCAGTAGTAACGGTCAGACACAAGTGTGACAGAATTGGACACAGATTCTTAAAACTTTGGCACTCGCAGCATTTTAAACAGCCAGATGTGCATTTTCAGATCTTACTATGGTGTTGTTTAGCTACTATGAGCTAGTCATTTGTTTACATAAGGCTCGTGTTTACCGTTTGGTATGCCATTTATGGATATTTTCAGTCGGTAATAGAAAGAGGCCTCTAGGACTGTCCCTATGGTGGCTCAGAAGGATCACAGCAACACTAGAATAGAGATGCATATAAATTATGTACACCCCACAATAATTCTGGTTACTAGCAATGATAAAAATGAGCAGTTTTTATAAAGATGTTTGACAGAAGCTACAGGTCGTACCATAAAGTTTTGCCTTATATCTAAAATAAGCGTTTATACTTGTGGACACACTATTTATCAACTACAAACACTATCCTACTAAATTGTACTAAATAAATCGGCAATAACAGACCCCCTTGCAACACTGATTAATTTTAGTGTTGGTGTGAACCTCCGAGGCCACCGTACTGTCCACATTCTGATATGTTTCAGTGAAAAGAGTGAGGCAGTTCTTAACATCAAAAGCGCTGAAGTTGCAATATTTAGTAAAAAATACAAAATTTAGCCTATAAATAACAATCAAAGCAAATCAGATCCCCATTTAAATGACTGGTAATAATGAAAAACTCAAAAAGAGCATGGTAAAAGCAACTCTAACAAATCCAAATGACATTTACAGTAGAAACACTAGTTTCACAATAACTTATTTACATATAAACAGTCCTTCAAGTCTCCAGATTTATAAAAAACATGAAACATTAGACATTTGAAGATAACACAGCATAGAGGCATCTACACATGATATCCCCAAGTATATATTTATATGTACATATGCATACATGTACAGCTATAAATATATATCTCATTTACAAACATACATTGGGTCTGTACAGTGGATCTTAGCAGTCTCTGAGGCCTCTGTACACATTCACTCTCACACATGCATCACCAGTCTGCGTCCTCCTCTATGTAATAGTCAGGGGCGGCTGTACCATCAAACAGACCCGGGTCCAGGGACTTCCTCTGTTTGCTCCGAGTAAAGACCCGCGACAAGGAGCCTAACGTCATCTTCTCCTTCTTCTTCTTACGCTTCTGGTCCTCCAAATCCTCCATAGACTACAGCCACCAAACAAAGGCATTATTATTACAAATGTGCATACATATTTACATGCCAGCAAAACGGCATTAGCAAGGAATGCACAATAATATCTTCTGACTCACGCTGAAGGCTGTGCACTTTGATCAGACCATAAAACATATATTATAAAATAGTCATTAATAACTAGGAGAAAAAAAAAAGTGGTAAATGAAGAAGTATTTTTATGATGATTAAATAGTTACATTTCCTCTTTAAAATTCTTGTTTCTTTTCTTTTTTTAAAAATCAGTATGTGAGTCTTTTCATCTTACTATAATTTTACAGTTGTAATAAATATGACAAAATTATCTAGTATGGTCATTTCATTTTCAAAATGTTTATTTGCCATATGCTCAAAATCGTAAAATATTGTGCATCCCTGTTGTACAAAAAACACCACCACCAAAAGCAGCTGGCACCCACAAGCCAAAACAGGACAGAGGAATACACATGTGAATGTGGGGTGTGATTATTTGGGTTGGATATGTCATTCCCCAATTTGAGTCATTTAACAAATGTGCGCAGTAATGTTTATCTGCTATAGACTAACTATATTTCCATGATTTTACTCAAAAACAGTTATAAATGTTATTTGTCAGTTGTAGTCTAGTCTGCCATTGCTTATTAAGCATAATAAGCATTATAAGCATACAATTTTCAGACAAAAATGTAAAATATCAACCTCTATGTTTGTCTGTTATGATTTGCTCTGGTTTACTAGCAGTTAAATCATGTGTTTTGGTGGGCATTGGGATCATATTTAACTTAAAATATCCACATGGTAAAAGTAAAAGAGTGGATAGTGTACTGAAAATAATTCAGTATGTTGAGCACAGATTGTATTTTGGTACAAATTTGGTGCAGACTCAAATTGGGAAATCACAGCTCGGCTGTTCTTACATTGCAGAGCGAGTGCGTCCGGTGTCGCGGAGAGTTGATGTCACTTGGAGTGGACGACCGGTCGCCATCAGCAACAGAGGCGTCTGAAATGACGGAGGGTTGTCTGGAGTGTCCCGGGCTGATCCTCACCACAGCTGGAGTCATGTGATGTGAACACCACACGCACACACACGCACACACACACAAGTCCCAAAGTTAGTATGAGATCCCTTTAGCACAGTGTTTCCAGCCTGAGGTACGCGGACTAGTGTAAGGATATAAGCACTTAAATGAGGGGTAGTTTCATTCTAAATAAAGATTAATTTGCCATGTTTTGTAGTCAACTATGAGATTTTATTAATGACCCGAACTGGACTTAATTTTCATTGGTTGTTGAAACTACAAGAGGATATTATGGTTTTTCTAAGATATTTAAAAAAAAAAAAAGTGTCATATTCATATTTTTCAATAATAATAATAAAGCCACTTACAGGACAGTGAACAATGGAGCAATGGGCATTGGTGGACAATCCCCTCTAACAGGCATGAATCGATCTAAGTACAACTCTGAATAAGCTAACTATGAGGGAAGACTGTTCTCAGATGGCTTAAGGCTTATAAAAGTAAACTTTGCATGAGTCTCTCCTAAATCTACATGATATGACGTGAATGGACGATATAGCTAAAAGGAGTAAGGCAAACAGGTTGGGAGCCACTGCTTTGAGAAACCAGGGTTAGTTTTGCACCAGCAGCACAGACACCTCAGGGAGCAGAGGCGAGAGAGTGTGCTTACCAGGTCGGTCTGTGGTGTGGCTGTGGTACAGGGTCTGTTGACTCTGGCGGATGGCGGCGGTGAGGGGCAGGTCTGGATGCATGACCCACTCCTGACTCCCGTTCACCACTGGCTCCATGGGCATCGCCAGAGAGTGACGCTTCGGGACATCCTTAGTCAGAGTGGCCAGGGACTGTTTAGCCTGGAATTACAAGGAGTGAGATGGTAATAATGACCATAATATAATATCATATTATATTATGCATATCAATATTATGCAATTTAATGCTTTACAAATTCCTTTTATGTTAGTCTATTCTGTTAATGCATTTCAGTGTCTTTTTTATGGACACCAACAGCATTATGGCCAATTAACCTTCTCCAATGCTTAGAACATTTTAAAACTACATTAAAACAATAAATGCATTTTAGTTAATCTCTAGATTATATTTTGGATTTACATAAATTATATAAAAAAGAAAAAATATGTTCACCCATACAATTAGGAACACAAATAAAATGTTTAAACAATCATTTACTGTATGTTCAAATATAGTTACTGATTATTTAGTGCAAAACAGTTTCTGTCCCCTAAAGTGCATTTAATTCATCAGGAGGTTCAGAGAAAGTAGTTATTTGTGCTGTTTGTGTCTAAGTGGAAGCCAAAACATTAGAACCAAACACCTCTGATGATGTCATAGAGAATAATCCCATTGGCTTCTCTGATGCGGTAGTAAAAAAGGTGTAATCTTATCTATTTGTGCCTATAAATTACCCTTAAATCTTGCATGATGAACCGTTAATTCAAATCTGACGCCAAGTTAAACATATGCAAATTGTGTGGTTAATCCCTTCAGTGCCAAGAGGCAGCAAAGCATTGCTACTGATTACTTCAGAGTGTTTATTTGCATAAAGACTGACTACAAATCTGAATGTGGACTATGTGTGCGATAAAACTGTAAAGGAAAGTGCTTTGAATGCCTCTGTCTGTAGTATGTGAGGTGGTTGTGTTAGAAAATATAATGAGAATTTAAGTGACATTTGACACTGAAAAAGACATACAGTCTTAATCTGGCAAAAGCAGAGGAAATGTAGACTGTTCATAAGACTCCAGAGTCAGACATGTTGTAGTCATTGCAATTATTTTGGATACATTAAATAATACTTAATTGCAATTCATTATCATGTTCATTTGTAAGCACAATCTCATATTTCACTTCAAGTCGCATTATGTACATGTTCTTTCCATGAAAATGTTGGAATGGTGACAGCCAGAATGTTTAATGCCATACTGTGGAAAGCAACAACAGCAGCATGAAGATCAGTGAACCCTAACCAGAAAAGTTGCATAATGCACCTTTAAGTCCTGAACTACTTTACTTATTGAGCTTGAACCTGCTATATTATAATCTATGATCTATGACATGTGTGGATCATTATGTTATAATTTGCACACTTTAATTCATAAAATTTATCATAAAAAAAACAAAAAAAACATGCTGCCCACTGACTTTTGAAAAACTGTGGTGCCCAATGGGAGCAGATGTTGGCATGAACATCATCACAACATAGAGCTGTGAAGTTGACAGCACTTCCAATGGAAAGCTGCACATCATGTTACTGACTACTCTGCTGAAGCCTTTACGCATCACTGATTAAGAAAATGTTTTGGAGAACGAAGTAAATACAGATCAGTGGGCATATGCTGGTGGCTTGATCTTGAAAATGAGAGATTAAAGATGACTCAAATATGCATGAATCACTCTGAATACAACTTTGAGTGGGTAAATGATGAGGGGAAATTGCTATAACATGGGTAAAAGCTCTGAAAAGTCTATTTTGCATAACAGGTCTGCTTTAAGTTATAGTGCTGCATTAGACCCAGTTAAATTCTGGTGTAGTCCATCTTTAGTTGAAAGTGAATTATACCAACAGCAACCACTATATGACAACAGGGTTTTAAAAAACTATAAAAGATTTGTTTCAGTAATATTTTGGAGTTTATACATATGTAGACTATAGGCAGAAGTAGCACGCTGAAGTAGCTGTGGGTCCATTAGCGTTAGTACCATGGTGAGTTCGGCCTCCAGTTCTTTGATGCGGTTTTCCTTGAGGTCGATCTGAGAGCGCAGAGACACGGCTGTTTCTGTGGCCTCTTTGGTCTGTCTCCTCAAGTCCCACTTCTCCCGCTCCAGCAGGTCCTTCTCTTTGGCCAGCACCTTCACAGCATCCTCACTCTCCTAAACAAAACAAAAAAATCACCATTTCAGAAAATAGAAAGAGAAAAGATGTATGAAAATATGTATCATTTCAGGCTATATTTATATGACCAGTAAACTTCTGTAAACTGCAATAATTAGAAAACCCAATAATTATATCAGATTTAGGAGTGTGTTTACATGCACAAAAGAAATCTGATCACAGCAGGAGACTTGTCAGTGTCGGTAAACTGTTGTATTTGTCAAAGAACAATGAGTTTTAAAATAACAATCCACATTTGGTCCTTCATATTTTCTTTAGTTTGCCTTTTTTTTGGTCAAAATCTGCACAAATCAGAAAGAAATCAGATTACGCAAATCAGACTGAACTGTTTACATGACATTTCAATAATCTGATAACTCCAGAAATCAGATAACAATCACATTTCTTGTGTGCATATAGACATAGCCACAGTAGACAATGTCATGTAACAACAAAAACTATGCTTGAATTAGTTTAAATAAAAGCAGGTTAGAAGTTTTGTTAAGACTATTTGTATAACCTTAATGTTGTAGTCAGCATATTCTGTTCCACTTGGATGAAGCATTCTACGTGCTTTGATTATGTAAGAAGATAAGTGAAAGGTTCAGCTTGAGGCTACAAGATGCCACCCAAAATTATATTGATGTATTTTGATACTTGTGTTGGCACATGAAACTTTGTAATTAATAGTCTGATGTTACAACCTATTACATAATATATTTTCACGTGATCAAGTTGTACAGTTGTTAGTGTTTAATTATTGTAAATCCCTTTTTAAAGGTCCCATATTACACTATTGTCTGGTATATCTTGTAATTGAAAAGTTGTTTCCTCATCACAAACATACATGGAAGTGCTCCACTGTGTTTTTAAAATCGATATACTCTCAATAGAACCATTTGGACAATTTCAGCTGTAGAATTTCCAATCTCTGCTGAACAACATGTTAACTTGAAACTTTGAGCTTTCAGCTTTGAAGATAAAGTATAGACAGACTTATATTAAGGTTTACTCAAACGCGTGAATGAAACAAAACACACCTTCAGGTATGTTTTTGATGAGGTAACAGCTTTCAAACATGGCTAAAAGCTCACAGTGTAATATAGGACCTTTAAGCCAGTATTGATAGCCAAACCAACACCAGAACACTCTATGCCATGCTGGGTAAACTGGGATGAACTGGATTTAAATAGTCTCTACATAACCAATGTTAAAATTAGTGCTGTCAAGCGATTAAAAAATTTGAGAGATTAATTAATTATGATCTGTAATTAATTAATCTCTTTTTTTAATCTCACCTAAAAATTGCTGAGAAAAGCATTCAACTTGAGGTATTTTCATTTGAATTCATTATTACATTATTTTCATACTATCATTAACGTTTTTATATAAGTATCATTATTATTACTATTATTAATCTGCATAAATAAACTCAACTTTACAACATATAAACCATGACCACTCTAGAGCCACATCAGCCCGTTTGACATTATAATGTGTTTAATGCAGCTTTGCGCAACTCTCACAGAAACGAAACTTAAAACCGCATGGCTAATTTGCATAAACTAAGCGGAGAAAAAAAAAACGCTCTTGTGCGCTGATGCAGTTCAGCTTCTACTAAAGGATACGACTCAGTGGAATATAGATGTTCTCTCTGTGACAGAGGGATGTTCTGCTGATGGTGAGTCTGTTCTGTGTCTGTATCACGATGTTTTCAGAGATCAGACGTGTGCAGGTTTATCGCAAATGTGGGCAAGAACGGGAATGAAAATTAGGCTACAATTCTTTGCGGGAGCGAGCAGAGCAGGACTGCACAGTGCGGGACTGTGTCCTAACAACACTTAAAAACAGATTTTATAATAAGGCAACTTGCATACAGAAACAGTAAAGTTAGAGATTGAAAATAAGATTAACGTGATTAAAAAACATAACGCGCTAAATATGACTGTAATTAATTAATCGCAATTAACGCGATAATTTGACACCCCTAGTTAAAATAGTATGAAGATGCTAGATGTGTGTATGAATTCTCATCAGAGCTTGATTGAGGCCTGATTCTTCTCATTAAAACCGTCTTTTTGTGCCTGTTACCTTCTTGTGCTGGTCGTAGTTGCGGATGAACTCGCGGAGCTGCTCCTCTCTGCTCTCCAGTGTGCTGTACAGCTGCTGCATCTGGCTCACCAGGTCTGACTTCTCCACCTTCAGACGCTTACGGTCCGCTTTCATCGCTATGGAGACGATAAAGAAGGAAAGTACAAAGGGTAGGTTGAGCTTCATGGTTTGTGACCTGGTTTAGACCTGGTTAACTCACGCATCACAATATATTATAATAACAAAGACTACAAATATAAATGGTGTTAATACATTCAAAATAAGTAGCAAGTATAGAAAGAGACTGGTGACAAATAAGGCATAACTAAATAAATGTATATGTTTGATCTTAGTTTAGTTTCACAATAAGAATGCGCGTTTTTGCAAGAGTACATTTAATGCCACACTCTGGGGCATTTCAGGCTAAACAAAAACATATCCATGGTAACAAGCAAATGGAAGAAAAGTTACAAAGTACACAATAAATTAATCCAGGTGAATTCTTATATGAACCACTTTGATCTTGACTTGTAGTTTTGTCCCTGACAGTGAATTCCATTATAATATCAATTGAACTGTAGGTAACCACTAGGGGGCAGTGTGTCTTCTGTGTATGGACTTTGTAGCTTTTGCAGGTTGCTCTTGGGGAAAGATGATGTAACCGTTTTTAAAGACAAGTGGGATAGTGTCAGATATTTGTGCATCCAGCTATTTGTTTTGACTGGACTATGTGGTAACCAGGGCCTATCGAATTTCCACCGTACACAACACACTGAATACATGAGAGTAGTATGTCGATGCAGCAGTGATGGAGGGAGGGATGAGAGGGGGAGAGAAGGGAAGGCAAGAGGGAAAGGTAGAGGAAAGAGATAGGAGAGGAGAAAGAAACTGAGATGGAGAAGTGAAGGAAGGAGATAGAAGAAGAGAATAAGAGATTAGAGAGAGAGAGAGAGAGAGAGAGAGAGGGAGGAGACAGAGAGGAGAGAGGACATGAGAGAGAGACATTCAGAAAACATTGCTGTCTGAGAAAGAGAGAGAAGAGAAGAGAGAGAGAGAGAGAGAGAGAGAGAAAAGAGAGAGAGAGAGAGCAGCAGGGTTTGAGAGAGATAAAGAGAGAGAAGAAGAAGAGAGAAGAGAGAGAGAGTGAGAGAGATTCAGAAGAAGAGGCTGTCCTGAGAGAGAGAGAGAGAGAGAGAGAGAAGAAAGTTGAAGAAAAGAGAGAGAGTGAGAGAGAAGAGAGTGCGAGAGAGGAATGAAGAAAGCATTCCTGTTTGAGAGAGAGAGAGAGAGAAAGAGAGAGGGAGAGGTGGCGGGAGGAGGAGAGAAGGAGAGAAAGACTGAGTGAAAAAGGGGCGCTGGCAGAGGGAGAGAAAGATAGAGAGAGTTGAAGGAATAAATGGAAAGGTGAAAAGGAGACACAGAGAGAGAGGCAGAGGCAGAGAGCGACAGAGAGGGAGAAAGAGAGAGGACATGTGTCATTCAGAAAGCATTCCTGTCTTTAACATTCATCCATTACTGGAGCCTGACATTCAAACCTGTTCGGCAGCAGTTGCACAACATTTTACGAGCGTGCAACACTAAACGGCATGACAAGTGACGAGTACCGATCCACAACTGTCTTTTTCAGTTTGCTAGCCTCGTATTAGTGAAAAACAACCTTGTCTACCTAAGCCGCTGGGACTATAGAGGCAGCAAATGTACAAGTATTATTTTAAATCTTCAAATAACTTTTATGTTCTGTTTAGTCCTGGAGATCAGTTTAAGTGGTTTAGTCAAACTCGGGTTTACATTTTGTGTTACCTTGTTTAGTCGTAGTATACACTTGCTTCCTGATCCTTGTTTAGTTCTAGTTTTCACCATATAGGCCTTAAAGATAGGTGGTCTAATGCCAAATAAAAGAAAAAAAAATGAAATTTTTTTGGTCATTTTTTACTTTATCTGCAGTTATATTCAATTTCTAGATCAGTTCACGCTGGTGTGGAGCAAAGATGTTGACGTCAATACTAAAATTCTATAGTAAAGTAGTTTCTGTATAGTTTTAATAATGCAAAATATTACATTGATATTGCGATACATACCATAGTTTTACTTGGTATCAGATAAAAAAAATAATAATAAAAATCTTTGGTATTGTCCATCATTGTCCATGTCACCTTTGATCTGATATGAACCTGGTTTAGTCACGATAACAAATTTAAACCACAATATATTGCTACAAAGATATACTGAGATAAACGATGATATTGAAACTATTTTATGAACCTGATGTAATAACAATAAAGCAGGATATTATTATTCTTTATTTCAGACACAAATATTATTCCGTCCATAGTTTAGAAGAAAAATTGAACACAAAAAAACATACAAAGCACCCAAATTAGTTCATAAAGTTCATTAAAAAGTGTGGAGTTTCTGTGGTTTCTCAGAGCAGAGGTGCAATGGCATGAGCTCATTTGAGGATTGGTCAAAGGAAACTCCCAGTAAAACAATTTTTAAATAAACTGTAGCATTAAAAGGCCTGAGCAGCAACAAGTAACAACAAAATCTTTTTTTTTTTACTGAGGAATTATATACACTAGAAACATTGAGCCTCAAAATATATTGTTCCAGCTTTCATATATTGAACTACTATCTTATTTTTACATTGAGAAGGACATCAGTTAGTATTTCTAAGCTGAATATTTTGTTTGTACTTCAATTGATCAAGACAACTGTACTGTACCGCATGATTACTATTTTACTGTGTGTCTGACATTTACTGTAAACTCAGGGATAAAATGCCCAATGACCTCACAGAACATGAAATCAACAGCTTCAAGTACAACACGAGTATTTGAGAGAAGTAGTGATTGATAGACGATAATTAAACCGAGGTGAAGAGCTGGAGCCTGGCTGGCTGTTGCAGACACACACGAAGCCTCATGTTGAAACCAAGGCTCCAAATGTGATCTGATCAAACTGAGGAACTGTTGCCACTTGTCTGACAATGCAAGCCAATATAAAACAGCGGATTAGCCCCAAACCACTATCAAAGCATCTGCAGTATGTTTCTTCATGTCACTCCTTCTAAACGGTTTAATGAAGTTATCAACATCTGAAGAGTGGTGGCTGTAGGGTGGGCCAGAGGCAGAATGTATGTCACACGTTTACAGTGTTAGACATAGTGTAGAATATTTATCTTATCGGGTTAAGCAACAGGAAAAATAGGGAAGGGTGATATTAACAATTTTCTGCTCTCATGTTTGATCAAAATCTTTCTATTTGATTATATATTATACATAAATAAAAAATGCTTTCAATTTTGTGAACATTAACAATACAGACTCATTGTACTCATTGCCTGAACTCTGCTTCAAACTACGGTATATGCTTTTCCTGACAGAAGATTGACTGTAGACCCTGATATTAAAAAGTAAATTATACATTTTATAAAGTAACATGAATCTCTATCTTAATTGAAATTTCATAATTGCACTGCCCTTAAGTATGTCTATTATAATGCCACTCATGAAGTATAGCTCTGAGATACAAAAAAACACAGATTTGAAATTGTATTTAATAGAAAACTAAATCGAGAAAGACGGCTTATTCTACATAATCAAAGGTGAGAAAATAGGAAAAAAGCTATTTGTTTTTTGTCATTCTTTTTTCTCGCTAACAATAAGAGCTCTCCATGCTCCCTCAGGCTTGAATCCCATATTGGAAGAAAAGTTTGGTTTTGAATATAGAACTAAAGAGCCTGTAGCTCCTGGTATCTGGAAATGTTCATCTGTAGTGCCATGGCCCCCAGTATCCAGTAATAATTTACAGTCTATTCAAAAGTATATGTATTGTAAAATAATCTATGTTTAAAGGTGCACAATGTTAGCTTGATTTATCAGCCAGTCTGATCTCGCAGTGTTAGAATTCGTTCACTCGAGGGTAGGCAGGTACTTTTTTTCATTTAACCAATCACTGCTATTTAGTCGTGACGTATGCAATGTGCCGCTAACGGGGCTAACTGGTATATTAAGCTTTTCCCAAATTCTGTAGGAAGAAGAGCAATAATGTTTTTCCCCTTAATAAAATTCACCAAACATTTTCTTTGTTCCAGCTTTAAATCCTCAATCTTGGGAACTGTTGCCAACATTGGATGGCTCTTCGCTGATTGGCTGGTGCCCGAACTCGCACTTCCAGGGTTTTTGCGAACCATCTAGTGTATTTTGATTGCTGACCTAATCGCTGGAGAGAAATGAAATTGAGTGGAGGCACTAGGTGGCACCAGCCTGACTAGCACAATGTAACCTTTCTGATGAATTGCTTACCTGAAATGTTCCCATGTGGCTTTAAACATATGTTAGCATTAGTTAATGGTTGTTTTAATTTCTCTAAACTACCTTCAAAAACATGCATTCTTACAGATCTGTAATGTAAACTAGTGCTGTTTCCATGGAGATAGATTGCATACTGTGGAACATTTTAGGCAAAGCAATAATATCTCTATGGATTCAACCATGTGGCAAAAGATGATATAGAGCATCTTTAAAGGTGCACTGTAACTTTTCATTCTTGTTTCTTGTTGGAAATATCACTTTTCTGTTTGGAATGTTCCACAGTATTGGACATTAAACAGTTCTGCCTTACATTTATTCAATTACAGGTGGTTTTAATGCTCAAAAATACCTAGAAAACAGGTATTCTGACAGTCGCTGGGTTACCTCTCCTCAAATCTGACCTGTAAGTTGGTCTGGTTTGGTCTCCATAGTGATAGAAATGTTTAATGCCATACTGTGAAACATTCCAGACAAAGCAATAACAACTCCATGGAGAAAAGCAGGTTACACAATGCACCTTTAACACTGATTTAAACCCCACTGACTTGTATGTGCTTGTATCTGTATGTTTGTGACTGTCTGACCTTGGAGAGCCTCTTTGGCGCGCTCCAGCTCCTGCTCCTTGTCCCCAAGCTGGGTGCGGAGTTCAGACGCAGACAGGCCGTTGGTGGAGCCTCGAGCGTTTGTGGAACCTCGAGCATCTGCCATGTCCTGACTCAGCACCTCCTTCATCTGACGCAGCAGCTGCACCTCCTCCTGCAGCTGCACCACCTCCTCACGCAGCAGCACTGAAGAGGCACACGGGAAGAGTTTATTATCATCTGTGTAGACACGGTAGGGATGAGACACTATTCACACTGGACGAGAAGAGACAAGACTTTGACATAATGGAGTTCAACAGTGACCATCTACCCTCCGGTTCTGGAAAACAATTTCTCATTCTTTTTTCCCATAGACTTTCCAAAAAAACATTATTAAGCCAATGAAAACTTGCTCAGGGCTAATCAGCTATGTAGTAATGAATGACCTATAGTTTTATCATCTTTATAGAGAGGGTAGGGGATGCGAAAGAAGACAAGAGATTGGGTCCACGAGAATAAGAAGAGACAAGACTTTGACATAATGGAGCTCAACAGTGACTCTCCACCCACCTGCTTCTGGAAATAAATGTATCATTCATTTTTCTCCTAGACTCTTTGAAAAAATGTTCCGGTATATTAAAAGTATGATTATTATTATTATTATTATTGCTTTTCACAGAATATTGCATTTTAACTGTGCTTTTTGGGCTTAAAACAACCGTGTGGTGGATATTAGATATTAGTGACTGGTCTCTGCGATGTCTTTGAAGTCTTAATATTTGAATTTTTTTTTTAAGTGTAAGGGAAAAATCAATGGAAATTTGAATATCAGAACAGGCAGTCACTGTTGAGCTCCATACGTCATAAAATTGTGTGGTTTAGTTCACAACTTTGGCCACAACTAATAGACTGTGACCAATCTCCCAGCAATATTACCAAAATTGTGCTGACACATACATGTTTTCTCATTCTCTTTTCTCGGACAGGAAATGCCTCATGTGAAAGCTCATGACTGCAGGTGCTGGGGTTTAATGAGAGCTCAGATCAGAGAGAGAACTTGTTTTAGTCGTAGGAACTGCCAACCCAAATATGAGGCCCATCGTACCGAAGTATTTAACATATTTGTTGAGTCAATGCACAGCAGGCTAACAGCTGAGTAGTTCTGATCTGACTGAGAACATGGCTCAGCATTAACCATTATACAATTGACTCTTGATTTCCAAAGATTTGAAGGAGGCAGAGGCACAGTTAGCCCACTCAAACTGTGAAAACAAGAAACCCACCAAATGTGTGATCAAAACATTTGCCTCTCAACCACAGCACTGTCCATCTAAATCTGAAAGATACACTGCAAAAAGTAAATTCTAGATAACTTCAAATTACTTAAATTAAGAACTTTGATTTGAGTTGATTTGACTAGACAAGTAAAATTATCTACCAATCGACATTTGATTTTTTTCTGGATTCAAGTAACACAAGATTTAGGTTTTGTTTTTTTTTTAGTTTTTTTAAGTACGAATAGTTAACCACATGTATTTTCCTATATTACAGTACAAACAATAGTTTTACTTGTCATGAGAATATTACTTGAATCAAAATAACATTTGCTTAATATAAGTTATATTAATTTGGCATTTTGCAGTGTATGAAAACATCAAAACTAAAGTGTCATCAGGATTAAAGGGACAGTTCGGAAGTTTGGACATAGGGTTTCATTTCCTAGTGATATTCCATCCAGTCCTTGTATTTGGAGAGGTCGCTGGTGCTAGGCTAGCACATGTCAATGGCCATAGTTAGCATGCTCTTATCCACTCCACAAAACACCTGAAGTAAAACTATTATTACACCAGACTGTCGATGTAAATGTCTGTGTTGATAGAATAATGTTTGAAATAAAACTAACCTTCCAACACATGAATCGTCGCATGTTGAGGGACTATTTTCTCATATATCAGTCCACTGCTGCCAAGCTTTCTATCAGGAAGTACAATGTGCTGCCGCTCAGACATAAATCCTTCAAATGTAGGGTTGGTTTTACTTCTAAAATTATTCTATTAACACAGACATTCACATCGACAGTCTGGTGTTATAATTGTTTTGCCTTGGGTAATTTGTCGAGTGACTGTTTTTAGTGGCCGGCTAACTATGGCCATTAAAGGTTGTATAGAGGATTTTCCAAGGAACGAGAAATCCCGCGACTGTTTGTCCTTTTTCAAATGTTGCGTGAAACCACCCCCCCTCCCCTACAGCTCCCTACGTAGAAACGCCTCCTCCCGCCTCCTCCTTACGCCAGAAACAGGTTTGTTTACAGCCGGTGCGCTGCACATGACTTGTAAACAACTAACTACAGTGTTGGTTAGGCAAGGCGGAGAAGTGAGGAGCGGGGGGAGCGGGTGCGCGGACATTTTGTGCGCGGACGAGAAGTGAGGAGCAGGGAGAAGAGTGGAGCAGGAAGCAGGGAGAGGAGGGAGAGGAGAGAGGAGCGGTGCGCGGAGATTCCGTGCCCGGAGAAGTGAGGAGCAGGGGGAAGAGCGGAACGGGCAGCGGGGAGAGGAGCAGGAAAGGGGTGCAGAGAAGGGTGCGCGGAGATTCAGTGCGAATGAACTAGCTACAACACGCAGCAGCAAGCGGACTCTTTCTTTGCCTTGAAAATTACGTTTTCAGACATAGGATATCGCTTTCGTGTCCTGAAAAACGTTTGACTAGCTCTTGGAAATAAAGTACGTTTTCATAATAAGCAGAAGTGACCTGTCCAGGAGTAATTTGGCGACCAATGCGTCAGTCTTTAGACCCTGCGTCTGCTTCAGTCGCGCCATCGCTGGAATGAATCTTCAAGAATCACCTTAGTTTGGCTTCGCTGCTTTTCCCCTTGTCTTCTTCTTTCAGTGATCTCAAAAACGGACTTTCTTTTGCGGCTAACTGCTCCTGGATTCTTGTCTGCCATTGCAACAAACTTTGTGCTAACTGCGAGGAAGATATAGGTAAAAAAATGCCGCTAAGAACTGTCGCGTTGGTGGAGTAAACAGCGTCTGTGCGGCTTGCGTCTGTGGACTGTGTGACAGGCGTATGTAAACCACGTACCGGCGGCGCGCAAGCAAGTCAGTTACGCTAGAAACGTAGGGAGATTGATTGACAGCCTGTCAGCTAACAGATAACGAGGCAGTGTCGTTATCTATTGGCAAATGTTTAGCCCCACCACGTCCAGAGTTGATGAATTTTTATTCTCTTTTTTTTGGTCATCATAATTACAAGGCTACTGCACCTCTATAATGCTATCATTGACAACTTGAAACAAAAAAAATCCTCCATACAACCTTTAACATGCACTAGCCTAGCACTAGCGACCTCTCAAATACAAGGACTGGATGGAATATTTTAAAAAGTGTCTCCACACGTTTCCAACACTCTGGCTCACTAGGAAATGAGGTCCTGTGTCCAAAATTCTGAACTGTCCCTTTAAGCTATTTTACAGTGAATCGTGATTACAAATGGGTTTCAGAAGGCATAACAACATTGTATGGGCCAGTAATATTTAATACAGAATGAATGATGCTAAAATGCTGAATTTTTTTGTTGAAAATTTTGTTCAAGGGTCTAGACACTAATAGAAATAAGTTGCTTCAGGATGTATGATTTTTTTCTTTTAAACATTTCTTATGAGGATATCATATAGTCAGTAAGGAAAAGTGACTCCTCCTCCCATCTGAGAGTATAACAACATCACACCGTAGGCTACAAAAAGCAACTATAAAAAAAGATAATCAAGTGGATTTATTACAAAACACAAAAAGAACAAAACAAAATATGACTGAAGTAAAATTTTCCGAACATTCCTCTAAATGCCATAAATCAGAGGCTTGTGTGTGAAGCAGTACATTGGCTGGAGGGGTCTTGTGTGGAGCTCAGAGACAAATGAACAGAAGCAGCAGACAGAGGAGACACAGCAGGCTCCTCTCACATTTGTAACGCTCAGAAAAACTTCTCATTCCTCTGCAACACCACCGCACAGGCACACGCGCTTTAGATGGTAATGAAATGTCTGAAAATACATCTTTTTACTTTTAAATATTGTTGGAATTCGATACCAATGGTCCTATATTACACAAAATTGACTCTTGTGAGCTTTAAGTCGTGTTTTAATCTTACTTGTTTTGTTTCATTCACAGGTCACTGGCTTGTATAACTGCGCAACATTTTGGGAAATGCAGTAACATCATCATGGAAACAAACAGGTTGCCCCTCATAAAGTTACATAGAGCATCTTTAATTACAATCAAATAAAATCAAAGCCCCAACAAAATGCACTGATAATATTTTGGTGGTCAGTATTTATTGTGAGTACTTTTTCTTTGTACTAGGGGGAACGTTTTTTTTTTTTTTTTTTTTTTTTTGCAGTACTACGACGAGATTTGAGCTGAAAAGGGTAAATTGATAACTTCTATGACTTACTACCTAACTACTAAGTGTTTCATTCTGACATTTTTTAAATTGATTTTAATATTTAACAAAACAAAAACAGACAATGAATAAATAAATAAAATAAAACCCTTTTTTTGACAATGTTTTAGGTGCACAATCCTGCTTTAGGGTTATTATATCAGACCTACATTAGTTTCAATATTATCATTTATCTATATTTTCTTCAGCAATATCACACTTCAAGATTTATCACGACAGTCCTACTCACATGACTGTTTGTGCATTCATAATAAGTCAAAGTGAAAAGGTGAGCGCGCCTGTAGCAGTCCCAGCTCTGCCTCAGCTCGATAAGAAGCCCCTGTCCTCCTCCTGTCCATTTGGCCCGAGGTAAACGCTTTTCTCTGCTACATGTTCCAACATCGGGGGACATTTTTCACCACCTCCTCTGCTCCCAAATCCGATTATTCATGCGTTTTACCTGCAGGCTGCCTCTGTCTGTCGCCCTCGCCGTATACGTGGGGCCCGCGGACATAAGACTGGATATTTCTGTGGGGTTTTGTCGAGCTAAGCAGTAATCCTTGGACAGGCTGTTGAGAAGACAGATCGTGTTTGTAATTGAAGTGATGTGGAGGTTGATCTGCGGGTGTTATTAGCTATTACAGTGATTTAGTGCTACTGCAAATAAATTAAATCCTATAATGTGTTGACGGAGCTATTTTTAGAGTACTACAAAGTTAAAATGTCAAGGCAAATAGATGGCTGTAGTACACCTTCACAGATTCAATTAA